AATCAGGTATAATCCTCTCCCACTCCTTTTGGTTCAGATCTGGTTCAGTTTATGGTTCAAGATTGATCCTTGAAAATATGATTTTCTAAATAGGGAATACGATTCCCAGTTGAAGGGAGAGATAAAATTTTGAAATTCGCCCCTTATTCCGCAATCTTTGGGCGTCCATAGGATGGATCTCTCATCCCTTCAACCCTATGGGCCCAACACTTACATTAAGTGGTCCCTGGGCCAAGCCATCTCATAAAAACCCCTTCTCAATATTTTTTTTGTCCTTAAAGTAAATAGTATTTCAAATACTATCTTTTTTTATTACTATAATACTTGATTTTCCTTGTAAATTTGTTTTGCAATAAGCCCTCGAAGTAAGCAGCACATTGAATGCTATCTGTAACATTTTCCCATTTTTTGACTCTTCAAATTCTGAAACTCCAATATTTTCAGGTTTTGTGGTGGTGGATAACTAGGATTTAGTGTATGAAATAAGATTATGAGGGCCTCTATGTTGCCTTGCACATGGATGGCTTAAATAGTACCTCACGTTCATTTAAGGCATCACAAGTTGTGCAGAATGTGCCGTATATTTCTAGGCATGAGGCTTCCACCATACAATGTGCAAAAAAATATGCATATATCCCGTGAAATAAGTTATGAAAGGATCACATGCTTTGTTGTATTTTTAAGATACCCTATCCCGTGAATGGAACTTTTGGAATGGGTGCTTAGATAATTATATACCAGGAACTGGTAACTTTATCATAAACCACTGCTATTCAATTCATGCTTCATGTTTTTTTTTTAAATATTACCTTATCACTGATAAAAAAATTTAAGTATATTCTATCCACTTTTTCCTTTTTGTTTAGGTCTTTGTTGCTAATCCAAACAAACCATTGGAAATAATCCAAATCTTAGCAAAGAACCATGAAAAGCTACTTGAGCTCCTCCACAATCTTTCTGTTGGCAGAGGTACGTTTCTAACGTTGTGAAGATTGTGGAAATTTAGGATACATAATGCCTTAAACTGAAGGAATGCATTACTTGGTACAGACCAATAAAAAAAATACATGGCACATGTGCACTGTAAGCTCAAATTTGCTACCCACAAGCTGTTCCAACATCTCTACCCATGGAACATCACAGCTGTGCATCGGGGATATCTTCCTTGTCATTCATGGGAAGATGTTCCCTATACACAGTGTGCTGTTCTGTGGGTAGGGATGTGGGAACAGTTTGTGAGTAACAGATCTGGAGCGGTGTGGGGCCATTAGGCCTGAACTACCACTGCTTTGGAAAATCTGAATATGCTACCAACAAGACGCCACCAACACAGCTTCCAAATGATCTATAACAGCACACCTGTTTGTTGTCATTGATAGGGTTGTACCTTTGAGATGGCCGTCATATTTGAGATGTGCAGGTGCAGCTATAGATCATGTTTTTTGATAAACAGATCATGTTGGAAGATGTGGTAGCATCTTGTTGGTAGCAGATTTGGACTCGTTTTGGCTTCCCTTCTGTCCCACTCCCTGGAAAAAGAATATAGTAAGTTTTCTTGCTCCAATCATTCTTCATGCATTTTTGTCTTCTCCCATGGTTTTAGGTGGTGATGATGAGCAATTTGAAGAGGAAAGGGACTTGATTATCAAGGAAATTAAGAGAATATCTTGCCTACCAAATATTGCTTCCTAGTGCGCAAGTGCAAATAGCATACTGTTATCTTCTTTTGTCTCAGAGTTTTCTATATTCAAGGATTTCCTTGTACAATCTACTACACTCATGAATGGAGTTTATTTGCAACAAGAGTTCAAGATATGATGCAATGGGTATTCTGAGAACTGTCAGTACTACTGGAATCTTATATGAATGTTAAAAGGAAAATGAGTTATTACTCTTCGTATTTCTGATGTCTTCATTTTGTATTCAATGGCATTATAATATGCTGTATTTTATGGTGGGCAATCCTTGGCTCCTTTTCGATTACAGGCACGTTAACTACTTACCCCGGACTCTCTCTCTCTCACAGAAGAACCAAAATAGAAGATGCAAGAGAAAACATCTATGTTCCTGATTTTCCTAACAAAATAGAAGATAGAAAGATGGATAAATTACTTAAACCTCCCCTGATGTTTATAAGGCTGTGCTTGGAATTAGTGTAAAACATCATCAGTGTATTTTTACACTGATGACATTTTACACTGAATCAGAAAGTGATGGATGGAAGAGTGTAAAGTTTTACATTGATAAAATCAATATAGTTTTTACATCAATTATCAATGTAAAACTTTAGAGTTGACGAGGTTTTACATCGATTATTGACATAAAACTACACTCCATCCAAATGCACGCAAAACTGAATCAGAGTGTAGTTTTACGTCAATAATAATTATACCCTCTTTCCAAACGCATACAAGACTGAATTGATAATACAGCCTAAGTTCCTAACAAATATTTGAATCTCCCATGAACTTTGACCTCTCCAAAAACCTCTACTATGTTTTTAATCATCCCTTCTAACAGTCAATTTTTAGGAGCCTAACAAATCAATGAGGTCATGCTTTGAAAGTTTTATTAAAATATCCAAAACATAATGATGAGATTCGATTTTCCATTGACCCGTCTCATCCGATTATATATCATTTGACATATCTTGGTATAATTTTTCAAATTTGAAATTCAAATTCAATTACCCTAACTATGCCCATTTAACTCGCCATAATTGATTTTATTTAACACTTCATTTCCTGTAATTGATTTATAATTAACCTTATTTAATACACCACTTATAATATTAATTCGCTTCATTTCCCGTAATTCAATTAATTCCATTTAAGTCTAATAGAAGGATTATAACAAAGGTTGCCTACATAAACATAATATTGAAGCCACTAGCGACTAGACCGCTCCACAATATCTTGCTAAATTAGCACTGATAAGCAACTATATTATATCCATGCGTATTAAAGTAGTTATGGCCTCTAGAAGTTTGTATTTATGTGCTAAAAAATTTTCAAAAAAAAGCTAGTTTTATAAAATGAAACCGGTTCACCGGTTTGTACTGACCAGTTTAGCGGTTTTGGCTGATTTTTACCCAATCTGGTTTTGGGGGTATGACCAAGCCGACTAGGGGCCCAGGTTAGATAAAGCTAGCATGTTGTTAGAAATATTTGAATCTAGGTTGCCTACATAAAATGTGAATATTTGAACCACTAGACCACTATATTATCTTGCTAAGTGAGTATTGATAAACATCTATATTATATCCATGCGTATTAAAGTACAAAAAATTCATTTGCAAATACCTAGATCTCAAGCCATAATCAAACCAGCTCCGAATGCTTTTGCCTCTATAATTTCAATTGTCCACTTAAGAGAATTTTTTTGGGTGACATATTTTAGAGGTGAGCAAAAAAAAAAATCGAACTGATTGAAAAACCAATCAAAATCGAACTGATTGAAAAATCAATCAAAATCGAACCAAAAAATTGGTTAACCGAACCAGTCGGTTGGGTTCGGTTAGGTGTTTTAAAAAAACTGAAGGTACCAGTTCAGTTTCAGTTAATTAATATAGAAAACCGACGATTAACTGAACTGATAATAAATATGCATTATATATAAATATATATATTTATAATATATGATATATTATTTATTATTTAAAATATAATATTATATATATATATTTTTTATTATAAAAATAAAAAATCAAAAAACCAACGAACTGAACCAACAATTAACTAAATCGGTCAACAGATTAACCGATTAGTTTCAGTTTGGTTTCAGTTACCGGTTTTCCCAAAACTGATAGTACCGGTTCGGTTAACCAAACCTTGAGCACCCCTAACATATTTCATAAGAGAACATAATTTTTCTACTTATGAGACAATACCGATATTTATTAAATTTAGTCAGTTTTAAAAAATTATTACAACCATCTAGTATTTTGCTTATAAGGGCAAAACTTTTCGAAAAGCATTTAATTTTAAGGGAAAAACAATATGGACTACAGGAGAAACCTGCTGCCCATCCCATTATATGAATGGACAGGCCCAGGCCCTCTTTTGCCCATTTATATCTTCTAGGGAAGCCCAGCCCAATATCATTGGATCCGTTATGTTCCTATTGCATTGAGATAAGCCTGCCTTCTGGCTAGTGGTGTAAATCGGGTGGGATGCAAAATTTACATATATATGTATAAATATATATATAATTGATTAGACTGAATTCAAGTTACCTAAGAATTTCCAGTCCTGATCCAAAAAATTAAAAGAAAGTCTAATTTCTTTGATCCAAACCCAGCCCAAGAACAAAAATACAAGCCTAACCCGTATAAAATTTCGAACTGGGCCGATTGAGGCTTGGACTGTGACAGCCCAAGTTGCACCCCTAATTCGGGCTTTGGAAGGCAGCGTCGATGCTGGAGTCGAGCCAGATGGTTGATGGAGTGGGGATGAGGCCCATCCTATCGCCATAGGCACTCCTTTGAAATATACAAATACCCACTGCTGAAGTAGAAAGGAGATACCGGGAAGGGTGCGCATCTCGCACAGTGCGCACGTGTCGAATTCTTCTAAATTTCTAATCTATCCCTTTCTGAATCCTGAAGCTCTCATGTGCCGATCACCTTCAACCGACGTTTTTGATTTTTGTCCCACCCACGCCACGGCACACCTCCTTGAGATAGTTGTTCGTTCGATAACTTCATCACTCATTCCTTTCTCTCTCATCTCTCTCTCTCTCTCTCCTCTTTTTGCGTTTCAACTCAGTCACGATCTCATCCGAATCGTTCCTCAATAAGAACAGATTTTTCACTGAAATCCTATCCCTAGTTCTACAGATTATTGTTTGTTATTTATTCCATGGATTTTTTCAAATCTGTCTTCTCGGATGATCAAGAACCCTTGGATGTCCAGAGAAACCAGACTTCATCGGTATCGGAATCTCCTAGTGGCACATCCGAAGTACAAGAAGAAGGAGATCCAGATCGGGAAGCTCTGTTGGATGAATACGAGTCAAATCCTAACCCTAGCCCCACTTCTTCAGCCGCTTCTGGTTGGAGCTTCGGCGGCTTCATCAAAACCTTCGCCACAAAATCTGAATCAGTTCTTCAGACGTACCGCCGCGATCTAGAGGAATTTAGCTCTGGCCTTAAGAAGGAGACGGAGGCGCTCCGTGAAGCCGCCAGTCGCGCCGTAAAGGATCTTCCGGCGTCGATCGAGGTTGGGGCGTCGGTCGCGCAGGAGTCGCTCGAGTCAGTTGGGCAAGCAATTGATGACTTAGGGAACACCGTGTGGCGCGGGACGGCTGAGATCATTTCCCACGGTAAGGATGTGCTTCTCTCTGCTGATCAGGAGAGCGATTCTTCTGATAGCCAGCATTTGAGTAATCCGATTTTGAATTCAAAGCGCTACAGTAGATTTGAAGCGCAGGTTCATTCAATTCAGACCGATTTGAATACTTACTGCGAGGAACCCGATGATTTGGACGACTTCAATAAGTGGAAATCTGGGTTTCTGATTGAAGAGAAGGCCAATGAAATTGAGAACTTATGCAGCGAGAACGGTGTTATGGAAGGGATCTATATCAAGCTTGTTCCTAATACTGTTGATCATGAGACATTTTGGGGTCGATACTTTTACAGGGTTCACAAGCTTAAGCAAATGGAGGATGCTAGAGCTAATCTTGTAAAGAGAGCAATTTGTGGGGAAGAGGAGGAAGATTTGAGTTGGGACGTGGATGATGATGATGAGGAGGAGGAAACCAATGCATCGGATTTGAAGGATGGTACCACCGACAACAAGGCATCGGAGAAACATGTCGAGGTGTCACAGTCTAGGAGTTCTGATGTTGTTCCTGAAATGGAAGGGAAGACATCTGACAGAGAAATTGATGAGAAAAGTCACATTGTGGAATCTGTTAGTGACAATGGGACTGATGAAAATAAAGTGTTGCCGGAAGCAAAGGCAGATCTGGCTGGATCACATAGCGATGAGTCAGTTGCAAAATCTGATGAGAAGCAAACTGAAGGAAAGGCTGACCATGGTGAATCTTGCAAAGACAGTGACGTATCAGTTGTCTCAAGCCAACCTTCAGTGCCTGAGGAAGAGGACTTGGGATGGGACGAAATTGAAGATCTTGGCAGTAACTTTGATAAAAAAACTGTTGGGGGCAGCACCAATAGAGCTGATCTATGCAAGCGGTTGAGTGTTGCAGATGATGACGAAGATTTAAGTTGGGATATTGAAGATGATGATGAGCCTGTGAAGCCATGAGTAAACCTTGATATTATAATAATAATAAATGGTTACAATGTGTTACATTATTTCTCTTTTCATGTCCCCTTTGGGGATTTCTTCCAAGTGTTTAGTTGGTTATTTGATTATGATTGTTTAGTCTCATTACTTCGTTTATAATGTAAATATGTCTATTTTTTAAAGCAACTAGAGTATTTGTCTATATACATCTCTTTATATTTGAAACTGAAGCAACTGTTTCCAAGAATACTTTTCTTTCCGTATACTTCTTTTGGTTAGGGCATCTTTTGGTAGTGTATATTGCTTCACATATGGGTGATTTACAGGATGCTATCCCCACAGTCCTCTTCCCCCCAAAACAGAAAGAGGGAAAGAAAGGAGAAAAAAGTAAACAAATATAAACATGGCTTCTTCTGCAGAACTGATTGTTATTGAACAATTGAACCTGGAGCGTCCAGGTAGTGTTCCGTTCACCTGTTCATGCTCAGTTGGGGAATATGCATTATTTGATGTTTCACAGGTTATTTCTTATTTGATGAAAAATATTTTCAGGTTAATAATAGGTTGTGCATCACTGTCAGTAACATGTTTCTATTGCTCATTTATTTTTCTGTTTTTTGTTTTTGTACTGCAAATTTTGAAGTCTGTATTACCATTCAAGTATGGTGAAGTTTGCTTCCTTGTTCTCGTGATAACAAATGAAGGTTATTACTCTTTGCTGATAAGAAAGATAATAACATATGTAGGTTGTAATTGAATGCCAATTACCTGTTTGTTGTATCTTACTTTACAAGGTGTAGACGACTCTTTCTTATCTCCAATTTTTGTCTTTTTGTGCTGGCATGTTCTTGTTGTGCATGATGATTTCTACCACTTTTTGATGGAAGACCACTGTTTTGGCTGAATGAATTGATGTTTTTGCATTGCAATAGATATTTCATTTTTTTTCATTGTTTATCAATGAGGTTGTGCATTCAGTTACCGTTGCTTTTCAATGGCTCAAACATTGGGGAACTTTAGTCTTTAGTGGACTTGGGTGTTTGATGGAGTATTCCCAAAGGAAGTCTTGGTTTTCATTTCTTGAAGTTGCTTGTCTTCTCGTGATTAATTGGTGGAAACTAAGGCTCTTTGGTTTGAAGGAAAAGGTAGGGAACACAACCTAAATGAATGGTTGATTCTGTACTATGCCCAGTTATTTATACCATTAAACAAATAAGTATTCATGGTTCTTACAACCATAGAACATGCCTTTGGAGTAACCCTAGAGGCATTGTCATTATAGCAAGCATTCAAGATTCCAAACTGGTAGCTTTTTTTTTTTTTCTTCTTCTTCTTCTCTTTTTTTTTTTTTAAATCAGGTGCTTGTACATTTCTTCCCCTCTTCTATTTGCCTTTTCTGTAATCTGTACTTCTCCTTAGTACTGAATGGTTAGAAAAGAGAATATAATGGGCTAGGTAATGATTACTAGGTTATTGTACTTGTTCTGCTTGTTTTAAATACTCTACAATTTTCACTTATTAATACCATTTGGACTCCTAATCTATTGGTCCCATTCCCATGCTTCTTGTCTAGTAGGATGGCCCTATCTCAGAAATTGTCTTTCTTGTCTAAAGGGGATTTACAGTTACACTGTTACAGGACCATGGAAGTGTTCTTCAAGTCATAAAATTTATGCACTCTGTGAAGGATGTCCATACATAATGAGTCACATACAAGTATATGATCACCTAGACCTCTAACCTTACCCTAGTTTGCTTAAAAAATGGCCCTATCTCAGAAATGGTGTCTTTCTTGTCTAGTTGGATGAATTGGAAATCCAACTTTAAAAGGGGGTTTACAGTTAAAGGACCATGGAAGTGTTCAAGTCATGGAATTTATGCACTCTGTGGACTGTGGAGTATGTCCATACATAATGAGTGACATACAAGCAAGGTTCAAAGTATTGATACTGGCCGACACGCCGGTAGGGCATATTGGCTAGTATCGGCCCTTTTTTTAAGTTCTACTTTTTTTTCGATTTTGGTTCAGAGGGGCCGGTTCAAGTCCCGGCTACCCTCTGAACCAGGCCCTGACCTGATACAACCCCTGTAGGGGTGTATTGGGAAGGGCCTAATACGTAACGATTTTTTTATCCTTGCATACAAGGATTTGATCACCTAGATCTCTACCTTCAAAATGTTGGATATTAAATTACCAATGTGAGCCTCGGCCATTCTTTTTTGGTCAAGGCAATACAGGATAGCCCTGCTCTACCAAAGAAACTAATGGCTTTTGTTGGGAGGGGGGGAGCACTCAAAATTAGCAATTCTTGTGACATGTACCAACATGGATGCAAAAACTTGGAAATCTACAGAAGAGAAATCATGAGAACGGCCTAGTGGCCTACATATGTTCCAAACTATTCAGCCTTGCAAGCCAAAAGCCTACCATATCATTCAAATACAATCAGGTGGCTAGCTGACCATGGCAGTGGGCCATGGGCTTTAGCACATTTTTTGACTGAAGCAAGGGATATCCTTCCCAACCTAAATGCACAGCTGGGTTGGATCCCCAGGGAGCTAAACACTGAAGCAGATGGTGTAGCAAAAGCTGGTGTTCACAGAGATGTCTTATTTAGTGATAGTTCTCTCCCTACTTAACTTCTGAGTTGTAATTTCTGTGTACATCTCCTATGTACATTTTTTCTTCAAGGAGACTGCTTTGGGCTTGATTGTAAGACTTTTATTCTGTTTTTCCACCCATCCTTTGGGTGGTGATATCTGTATTCTCCATTTTATCTTTAATGAAAGTTACCTTTTCTTATAAAAAAAAAATCATTCAATATGGTGGAAGTGCATGAATAGCATCTTTGATGGAAACTAAGTTTTATATTGCAGAGTAAAACATAGGAGATAATGTTATTGCCTTTACAGATCCATGAACCTCAGAACTACCAGGAGGAGTACCACATAGAAAGACAGGACTTAACATCCTCATAGACAGACAGTATGTTCCTTCATCCAGGAGACTGGAGATTGGGATGAATCTATTCCACTGGTTTACGTTGAAGACACCAAAACCAATAGTTTATTACAGATCCATCAAAGCAGGGAGGGGGGGGTCATATGGTAGATGTCTGTGGAGAAGAAACAATATTGTCAATGCAGAAACAAAAGAGGGCTAGGATGTTATGGAGATGCACTAGGGCTGCTATCTGTTGGGTGTTGTGGAAGGAAATGAATTACAGAGTTTTTACTGAGAAAGAAAGAAGCAAAGATGTCATAGACTTCATCATGATCAAGGTGGCTCATTGGGTGAGGACAATGGATTTTTTTTCTCCATATTCAGTTGATGACATCATGCTCAATTGGAATGAGGTTGCTGAATCTGCACCTGTTAATCCATCTAATACTGCAGAATGGACCCCTCTGGAGAGAGGTTTCATCAAATTAAACTTTGATGGGAGTTGCTTGGATATGAGGGTGGTAAAGTGGTGGTTCTTTATTCGGGACCAGCTGGGAATGGAAACTCTCTTCGGGCTTAGGTATTGTCAGCAGTGGAAGGAACCCAAAAAGCTGTTTCCCTAAATATTAAGAACTTGATAATTGAGGAGGATTCAAAGCTGGTGGTTAATTGGCTGCAAAAAGATGAACCGAGTCATTGGAAATTCAATAATGAAAAGAAAAAGATTAAATGGTTAAGTCAGAAGATGGAATGGAAGTGAGAGTTCAGTGGGTGAAAAGAAGTGCATATTCATTTGCAGATTCTCTTGCTAGGCAGGGGACAGGTAGATCTAATCTTTTTCGGGCACATTTATATTTGTCTCTTGTAAATTTCTGTTTCTTGGGAGAGATAAGAGAGGTTATCTCGTCCTCTTTTCATCTGATGTAATTCCTTTCAATTAATCAATATAATTTCCAGTTATCGATCAAAAACAATTACAGAAATCTCGGCATACAGAACTTTCCTTCATATGAGGCCTGCTCCATCAAACTCAGAACAGAAAGTGGAGAGTAAGAATAGGTACCAAATGTTCTTGTGCAAAATATTTCATGATGGCCTTCCAAGGACAAATGGGCAAGGAATGTGGCCGAAGAAAAGTTGTGTCACAGCCAAACAGAAACCCTGTTCTACTTTTCTTGAGTTCGGCTTCAGTCAGTGCAAGCCTGTCCTCACATCGTTCCGACAGCCTCTTGCAACCCTGCTTTGGGAATGAGATATTCCCAATGCAAGGCTGTAAAGGGTGTTTCACTGTCCATTTGTGTGAGGAAGTTGGATACAGGGGCCTACTGGGTATTAATCTAAGAACGGATCACTCGAGCAAACATACAGGAGGTGATTTAGACGTGGGAGTTCGGTTGGATCACTCAAGCAAACATGCAGGAACAAACACTCAAGCAAACAATTAGGACCTTTTAACACGTTAAAAATGTTAATATCCACTCTAATTTATTTATCTGCAATTATCTGATCCCTTGGAAAATCCGTTCCATTGTGATTATTTCTCTGTTTAATAAATGTGGTTTGCTGGTTTGTCAAAAAAAACTAAAATGAAGAGCGTCATATATTGAAAACTCTGGGTACACAATTTTTGCGCATCCAGCGTATCAATACTTTGAACCATGAGCAGAACACAGAGCCATAAGCCAAAGAGCAAAGAGTCAGAGCAGCAGCAGATAAGGAGGAAGAAGAAGATCATATTATATTCAAATGCTAAAAAATAGGTGTAAAAAAATTCAATCAAAGATTGTAGATGATCCATATGAAAACGAACTTTACTAAAATGTGAGTGTTTTGTCTTTTACCTTTGTCTCCATTTGTATGCAGTATCTTGAATGTTGACAGTTCTTTTAATGTGGTAAAAAAATAAACATTCTTTAATGTTTACCAAAAATCCAAAATAAACGAAAAGAGAAAACGTGGGGTTCTGTTTTTCAGAGTCGTTGGTCGAATTCATTTAATTACGTTGACAGAAGAACTTTATAACACAATTCCTGGCATGGTATTAAATACGAAAACAGATAATGTGGGATTCTGTTTTTCAGAGTCGAATTCATTTACGCAGTTCTTGGCATGGTATTAAATTTTGACAGAACTTTGTAACGCAAGAATTTTCATTCCAAATATGGGAAACAATTCAGCTGCTTATTTCCTTCGAGATTTTAAATATAGTATCAAAATCAATAATGTAAATTTAAAATGTTGTACAATATATTCGTATATTAAATATAAAAATAATTAAATTTGTCAAAAGTTTTGCTTGAAATTGCAAAAATAATTAAATCCGCCATTGCTCTCTTTTTGGACTAGCTAGTACCTAGTGGATATACACAGTTAACAATAAACAATCAATATGTTCTCTCCCTCTCTCTCCATTTTGTATGCATTTACTGTTCTAGATAAAACTATCGACAGACTTTAAGGCGTTCCATTACCAATGCCCACCAGAAGGGATCATTCCATTGATATCGGTAATGGCCACTACAAAAGGTTGGTTGGTGTAATGATGTCGACCAAAAGAAGAAAGAAGAAAAAATCAATAAGATTTCTAGCAGGGGATGGAGAACTCGACATTATCAAGTTGAAGAATCTAATCTATCTTTCTGGTGGTCCAGTACAAAAGGGAAAGAGTGATCTATAATGGATGTGATTAATAAACCACAGATCATTGGCACAATGAACCTGGAGCTCTTCTGCAACATCATATGCCTGTTTTGATGTAAGAGAACAACACTCTAGTGGCAGTGCAATTGCACAAGGGAAAAGCCATGATTGAAATAAAGCTAAAGCTTCCCTTTCTTATCTCCATTTAAAGTAAACCAGCCCCCTGGATTATCCACAGGTGCTAAAAGCTGATTCCATTTTAACCACCACACAAAGAAGACAAAAAGTATAGCAGAAATTCCACCTGCCTCTGAAAAAGAAGATCACAACTCAATAACATAAATAGATAAAAAAAATTCCACCCTCTATTAGGGTTAAATTCATATCCCTCAGAACTTAAAAATCCAGCTCAATTGTTTCCAAACACTCTTACAATGGTGGGTTATCCACGGCAAGGTGCAGGAATGGGAAGCATCCCTACTCTTCCTGAAAAAAAAAAAAAGAAAAAAGCCTACAGATTCCCTACACAGAAAACTGATATCTCTATACTATATCATATATTCTCTGCAGTACGAAGAGATTCTTTTCCCATGATTTGTACAGATTTGGCCATAACATCCACCTCACAAAACATCTAATTGTTCTTTGAATGAGGTAAGATGTGAACCCTCCTTTATATCCAAAACAGTCAAGCCAAAGTTTGATGCTGCCTTCCCAATGGTTTCATCAAAGCAACAAGACACAAAGAATGGTCAAACTGTGACTCCTGCATCGGAAATGGGTTCCACTGCTGGTGTTTCAATTGGCGGAGGCAGTGCCAGGAGCCTTCCCTTCTGTGCACGGGGAGGGAGATGTTTGGTGGGTTTCTTTGAGCTGACTGTCCAGGGCAAGAACACCCCTGTACCACCGCGTGGGATCTTTCTCGGGTTCATAACCATGGGCCGCATTGGAGCTAACATAACAAGAGGGGCACGGAGAACTCCCCATTTGGGGACCATGTCCATGCCTTCGTATCCGTTGAGCGCTTCCGCTCCATTGGACATTGTGCAAGGATGTGGCACTCCTGGTTGCCAAAGTGTCATGGCCTTGGTCAGTGGCGGAATGACCTGTGTCTGAATTGGGTTGGTATCCAGCCGAACCTTGAAGAATGTAATGCTAACTCTCTTATTTGAAGATGGACATATAACATGCCTTGCCATGTCAGAGCTATTCCCTCGCATGACTAGGAGCGATCTGCAAGTTCATCAGATCATTGCGTAAAACAGCCTGTTAGAGAGGTGGTTACAGAGGCACATGTACACTGTCCTGGTGTACTATGAGTACATAGAAATATTTAACCTAAAGTTGAGCATCTGTCCTTATCGATATGATCCATACACATCGATATGGATACAATATGTTTGATACAGGGCAATGATATTCACCCATTACGGCACATACTTTATAAAATCAGGATATCCATCTGTATCTGGGTGCATCGATATGAATACAATATAGTTGATACCGGGAGTATCTATGATTTCAATTTCAGGTCATGTGATAATATCTCAGATGAGTGCATTTGTTGGGAATTGTGAGAAGGAGAATAGACTGAGATGGTTTGGGCATGTGCGTACAAAATAAACTTACCATTGAAATTTAAAATGAGAAATCAATTGCAGACTGAATGGTGTAGAATAACTACGGGCAGGCTAAAAAGTATCAAGGCTTGTAAAGATGTTTCCCCCTCCATTTGCTGTATATGCTAATGGAGTTGATTGTTATTTTAGCATCTGGTAGTGTGTCTCCAGTGTGTAAAGCAATGAGTAAAAGGAATATAAAGTCCATACCCTTCTTTAAGAGAGAGCATGAGTGAACCTTTGAAGTTCCCATTGGCATCGTTTTGGAGAACCCGTCCAAAAGCCATAGTGGATTCAGAAAGGAGAAGAGTAGAGATAGGCTGCTCCAAATGTGGTGGCCTAAGGTACGGTTGTGAATACTCGCCCTGCGAAGAGAAGGAGAGCAACTAAATTTCCTGGTTCCTTCAAAACAAAATTGAGATTCAAAACGCCGATGGAAACGAAAAACAATCCTGCTCTCCCCCTATTATATCCTTTAGGCTGCCTTTGTTTCAGCGTTAATTGGGCAGAAAATCATTTAAATGAAAACAAATTAGAAGGGGGAGAAAACCTTTTTTTTTTGCAGATACAGGGGAGGAAATAATAGCCGAAATATTTCAGTCTCAATTTTAAATTCATTTTGAGGAGAAATAAACTCAGCCTTAAGTAAGGTAAAATAAAATAAAAGCTTGAGTATAATATACAAGAGAAAGCAGCGAAAATAAAACAATACCTCGTCAAAGAAGTTAATGATGGAGCTATTGGGTTTTCTACTTTCTGGTATGAGGCGGCACTGAACCAGGTGATCAATGACAGCTTGGAGAACTGATGGGATCGGATCGATATTACCTGTACACAGAGCAAGTCTCGTGCTGTGACTTCCAAAAATATATTATGGGGGAAAAGTACTACAAGGACTTTGATTTCTGAGAGAAACTAAAATTTGGTAGAAGCAAATGCAGAACATCAAAACTCTATAGTCTTGACTTACACTTGTGCAATTTACTTGTTGCTTCATCTTTGATCTGTCCGAAAATTGGAACTCCTAGCTGAATTAACTCTCTCTTGTTCCCCTTCAATTGCTTGTTAAACAAGATAAACGTCTCACCTGTGTTCACCATAACATAGAATTAGACTATCAGAATTTGAAAATGTGTTACAGTCATAATCTCTTTCATGCAAAATACATTTCCAAACAATTTGGTGCAACTTATAAACGGACATCAATTCCCAAAGTGGAGATCTGCAATTTAAATCAGCCTAAACAAGTGGTAACTAGAAATAAGTTTAATCACAGAGCGTGTAAAAACAATGACACAATTCCCGAAAGGAGAGCTCCAATGGGAGAACCAACCTGAGAGTTCTCCATCCCGACCAGCACTGCGGAGTTCATTTACGAAGTCATTGAGCTTAGAAAGCTCCGACCCAGTGAAGATTTCTTCATACACCTTCAGACCTTTCACAACGTTGACCTGCAGGGCACAATTAACAATTAACTACAATCACATTACAAGATATCAGCTCACAGATTTAAACCATTCTCTTCCGATTATATCTATGCCCTATTTTCTCTACAGAAAAAAATTGTAATGAATGACGAAAAGATAGAACTCGCCATGTGCCCTTTCACTGGCTCCTTGGCTACGAAACCTTTAGTTATCTTGATCTTGGCACGCCTTGTCTCGCAGTCTTCGTCATTGGAGCAAAACCAAGTGTTCTCCAACGGAAGCTCATCTTCATGAGATCCTACCCAAAGCAGAAATGGAGGTTAAGTATAACAGTAATAACCAAACCAAAATCAAACCAGAGAAAGAATCTATTTTTTGGGGGGGACCCAAGAAACGTCGACTAAATTTACTCCTGACCCGCCATGATTGTAAAGCAACAAATTTCTCAGAAACCTCTGGTGGATGGATTCTGACCTCTGTTCTGGATTTCTTTTGTTTCTCAGGCCCTCGGCTAGGCAGCTACCTTGAGTAACTCGGTAGGCAAGGCGGGTTGAATCGGGGTGGCAGGGGCGAGTATCTGAGTCGATTTCACTTTTTCCGGGCAACAAATTGTGGAGGTCAGGTCACGGGTTAAAGAGGCTGGGCAACAACCCCAACAGGTACACGCGCATCAACCTGAGATCAGACGGCTTAGATTACAAGCCGCCTATAATAAATGATCTCGCGCATCACGACGTGATTTATTTAATAAAAAAGGTAAATTGGCAACTTCCCAAAATAACTGTAATACCAGATGAGGCCTAATTCGGGCCTCGAAATGCTCAACAACCACATAAACCTCGAGGTTGTTCACAGTACACGCGCCATATTCTCTCGAGTTTATTTATTTAAATAAAATATAATATAAAATATTTCTTTTTAAAATAATGAAATACAATAAATAAACGTAAAATCAAAGGAAAAAAAATAGAAAAAAAAACTGAGGAAGACTTCAGGAATCAGGAGTCGAGAGAATCGGAAGCAATTGAATTTTGAATGCGGAAAAACGGCGATCTTTTCCAGTTCTTTTAAAGTAAAGTTGTGTAATTGGTGTGGAATCCCGAGTTAATAGAATCGGGAAGTTTTCGGATTTATTATGGTTCGTCCTATGGATCAAACTCCGTCTCTAACTCGATTGTTTTCATAAGAAGTTTCGTTATATGGAAATGTGGAGAAAATTAAATGCAGACTTTCATTTCAGAAGAAGGAAAGCGATTTTTGCAGAGAGAGAGAGAGAGAGAGAAACTCTTAAGATCATCGACTTCCAGTCGCGTAACCAAATGAATAACGAAGAAACCTAATATTAAGCTTATATCATCGGTTCAGATATTAGAATTTATTCTGTTCTTATGCTTCGAGTTCGAAATGTACTAACCTCCTTCAACAACCTTAGGATCTGAAAAATCATCTTTAGATGAGTCTTCTTCTACTACCTCATCACCGGCATCACCATCACTCTGCTTATCAGCATTACTCTGCTTCAAGTCCTCCACAGAATCACTTTTCACCTCCTGAACCTGATCTTTAACTTCCCTACAGCTCTCTTTCTCCTTAAAATAAACCCTAGCTTCTTCGCTCTGCGTCCTCTCTTCCTCCTTTGTCTTCGTCTTCGCCGTCGCGACTTTCCGGAGCTCGAGAGTCACGTCGGCGATCGAATAGTACTTCTGCATATGGAGGATCGGGATCCAGTTCAACCGCCTCCTGTGAATCGCTTCAAACACCGATTCGTAGCTGGCGGTTCCATTACCAAAGAGTGTATCGAGCTGAGTCAAGTGGTTGCAGAGCGCATCGATAATGGCGTTCGCAGCCGCGAATTCTCCCCTGAACCAAGCGATAATCGCGTCCCTTGCAAACGCCTCTGATGGCATCTGCATCGTCGATCCCATCGGGATTCTATCGGACGGTGGTGCAGGCCCGGCCGCCGTCGGCATCGATGGGTCTCCTCCGAGATCAAGCTTTTAGCTCCTCTAGGATTCTGTATCGTATCGTATCGGTTGGGAGCTACTTACTACTACAACACACGTTTCGGGAATCTATCGGGTTTTAGTTGAGACTTGAGAGAGAACGGGGGGGGGAAGGAGCTATAAAAAGATGAAAGCGAGGGGAGTGTGGCATGAGGGTTTAGGAGGTTATATAGCCAGTTCTGGTGCTGTCCGTATGAGGGGGGTCCACATGGTGACGTGTCAATCGGAAAGATGCGTGACTTGGCTCGATGAGGTGGAGAAGCGTTAGATAGACGGAACGGGAGCCAATTGAAAGCAAGCTATGAATTTACGGAAATAACCTTGGCAGACTCGGAGCAGCCCAAGTAGGTAAAAGTTTTGGAATCGATCGCACGTGGAACTTTTCATCGGTTGCACAAAACGTGGTGATTAAGGAGTGTTGGCTAGGGTGTAACGCGACTGGGTTGAAGTCTGTACTCCTCAAAGAATCAAGGCCGTCCACTGTTGAGGCGTCTAACGGATAGAAATTGGGCCTACTTGTACCCAAGTGGAGCGGGTCAATGGTCTATTTTTGAGGCTGGTTGGAGACTTGGAGCTACGATGCGGGGGTCCACCATTCAAAGCCGTATATGGTGATATCAACTTTAATGCAGCGTTGCAGCAGCCCAAAAAATTTGACCCGACTGACCGGCTGGCGACTAGAGATCTTGTATCTGAACGGCTCGAGTTCCAATGGGAAGGGACAAAATCGGTAGGACATAAGTGATATTGGCCTTTGTTTAGCCGTTAAAGTGGCTCTGGTCTGGTTCACGGGGCATTGGATGGGATTGGGGACTAACTTAATGTATTCCAGGAAACTTCCTGCACGGACTCCTCGAGACATGGAGACCAGGGGAGTACCGACTACAGACCAATCGGACGGTGGAGGACCCACCTCTTCGATTTCACATCTTCTCCCAACAGAACGCGCCCCAAATACGCCTTACATACACATCTCAGCGTAAATCGAAAACATCTCTCGTACTTTACATTGGGTGATGTTTCCCATATGGGATGTAATCGTTTTTGAGGGCGCATTCTGTGGGGTGGGGGGCAGACAAGTCATTTTACAATCATCCGATGGAGACACTGTTAATGATGACGTGGACGACGCATTGGATGCCTCTGCCCGGAGTGGGGGGGCCATCACAGCGCGGCATGCAATGATTCGCTCACAGCTGTTGGTGGTGGGGCCCACAGATGGAGAGTTGAAGACGAGGAGGGGAAGGTTCATACGGTCCCACCCACGGGCACAGTACGGGGCAGATGTGTGCTACCAACAAAACGCTTCCAACGATGTCCCAACCTGAACCTGCCACCTTTTCTGAATGTACAGTTGCGATGGAGTAGTTGGTAGTTGTTTTTGAGAATTGTGATTTTTGTGACCACCAAAGCGGACTCGGCAGACTCGGCACATGCCAAAGGCACTCCACCTCCACAGCTCCACTTATACAGAAGAGACAAAAATGTGAACGACAACTGAGCCGGCGCCGGTTCTCTCGGCTCGGCCCGGCCCGGCCTGCTTCTAGTTAATTTGAAAAGAGATAAGCTGATAAACTGTCATACTACGTATTAATTTGTAGGCGAAAGAAGTCATTTAAAAGTAAAAAGGGCCCTCTCTGAATTTCCACCAAAGAAGTTATGGAATAATGGAAGTCTTTCACGTTCTAGAAAGAACAAGAATCCACTAGAATGTTGTTTTCTTTCTTTGAATTTGATAACAATATCTTTATTCAAAGGATAGTAATTTCTGGAGTGGGTTTTAACTTTGGTTTTGTTTTTTCAAATAGGAGGATGCTTGTCATAACTGTTTTTTTTACTTTCTGCTTTTATATAACTCGCTATATCAGGCAAAGAAAGTCTATGACGCAGGAAAGAAAAGACATGGTATCTAAAGAGTTTCGACCAATCCAAATCTACCCATGAATGTTGATAAATAACACCTAATTGGCTACCACTGATTTCAGTTAATTAGTCAGAAAATTTTCCAAAATCATTTTGGCATAAATTGGCAAAAAATTAGCTTGTTTTTTTGGTATTACAAAATACATAATACATTATTGATGCCAGGTGTGTACATCAAGCCTATTAATCATATCAAGGAGAATCTGTAGTTTCACAGGTTAGATGTTGTCTTTTCTTTTTGGAGGGGCACCAATTGACTATCTTAACTATAGTGGGTCATTGGTAAGGCCATTATGTAATAATGTGCTTAAATTTTTTATGCAAACACATGATTATAAAACAACCTATAAAGGAGGATCAGCGCAGCAAAACCCCTTTTACTGTAACAAGTCAAAAACAAAAGCAATACACTTTTTTGAGTTGTTCACATCAGCATTATCTTAACCAAATAGTTTTTAACAAAAAATCTTGGGCTTTGGGTGACAAAAAAAAATTCAAGTTAGAGTCTTATTTCTACTACATTAGTCTTGTTTTATAGATATTTGAGAGGCCAAAGAATGTTTGTATAATCATGCATGATTCTCTAGATATAGAAAATTAGTCCTCTAAGTTCACACCACATTTTTAATAAAAATGTCTTTCATCCCGCATTCTTTTGAGTCTGGATCTACTGACCACAACACATTGTTCGCCACATTCACCAAGCCGCACATCGGGAATATGGGCGATATAAAGTACAATTCATATTCCTGATGTTGTACAACTGGATCAATGTGGCAAACAATGTATTGTGAACCTGTGATCAGTACATCCAAACTCTCATTCTTTTGTGGTCAGAAGAGAATGAATTCAAACCTCAATTGCTCCAACAGCATAAGTTCCCAACTTCCAACTGACACCAATCCACTTGTTAAAAACTAAAAAGCATTCCTCGGGTGAAAGGCTTCTTCTTGAATCCTACCAGTACCACCCCTTTTCCCCAAGAAAGCACAACCATCCAAATTGTATATCATCTTCACTTTTTCTAACTTTTTTCCTACATTTTCTAATCCTTTTTCTCCACCAATCCAATCCACAACACAGAAAGAGAGAGAAAGAGAATCAAATTGAGCGTGAAGCTTTTTTTCTATGTATGATTTTTGTTTTCTCAAAGACAAAAAATCTTGCTTTGTAATTCGATAAACATGACAAAGCCACTCTTTATGTTAAAAAGTAAGATTTCTGAGGCTGCTTTAGGAGAAAACAGAGCTGGAGAGAAGACTGGCCCAACGTAGAAAGCTCAAGCTTTACATGGCATGGCTTAAAAGTTGGTAAAAGCAAACCCAAACAAAGCAGAACCCAAGTGGGTCCCATCGATCCCAACAAAGGCGTGATTCCATTCCCCATTTTCCTTTTTCTAGCATAAAGTCAAGGGTGCACATGATAGGGCTCACGTCGGAAGCCTCACCTAACGTGACACGTGTACGGTCAGAACACCGGCTCACACCCCCATTAATCATATGAACCTAATTAAAAAGTCAAAAAATGAAAAAGCAAAGAAACCCCATTTGGCTTTGTTTGTCTCGTTTTCTAATTTAAAATAAGATTTTCACCTCAAAGTGAAAATTCAGCCTTCAACTTTAACTTTGGAAAGCATTTTCCCGGGAATATGCTTTGCACCTCTCTTGCAGAATTGGGTGGTCGAGAATCAACCGGACAAACCCAACAAATAATTTGGAGTTTCGGACCATCCATTCTGACTTCTCATGCTCTTTTGGTATAAAGCAGTAGGTCTGCTTTTAGTCTCACATGGGTGGATTCGCACCATTAACATGAAAAAATGAAAACAGCAAAATATCTGGAGTTTTGGGTTCATCTGAAGAACCAAACTCCCCTGGTTTTTGGCATTAATATTTGTTTGTGCAAATGAGGGAGAAGGAAGAAGTACTTCTTACTTATACTTCTCTTTGCCTCTTTATATAGTTTTGGAATGCTTACAAACATGTATAATTCTTTATTAATAATCAAGTATTTTTAATGTTTTGTGTCGATGCAATTTGAATGGAAAAAAAAAAGCTTTGATTTTATTCTTTTGAAGGTAGAATTCTAAGTTAGAATTGATTAGCTCTAGCAGGCAGCAGCAGGTGAGGTGATGCAAACAAGTAGTGGGCTGTTTGTTATTTTATTTATTTGTTTATTTAGTATATACATCATTATTTCTTAGGTTCAAGTTCATGTCAGTTGAGATATTTCTTTTGTATTTTCTGCAACTTGGAGGGCAATAGTCGGCCTGGTCCATGTGTAAATTACTGGTGGGTCGGACGCCCGACTGATTCAAGCCAAAAAGACCAATGAATAGTTACATATTCAGTCGGTGATAGGAAAAGGGACAATTTAGGGGGTGTTGGACAATGTGAATATATAGTTTTGTTTTCTAAAACAAAATAATTGCCACATTAGCAATAATATATTGTTTTTTTTTTCCAGATGGCATGGTAAATCTCGCTTCACCTATTTCCAAGTGCCGAATTTTCTGGCTTCCCCACCATTAGGGGAGTTCGATAGAAAAATATGAGGCTCGAGTTCAAGCTCCAACTTGGTTTGAGCCAAAAACATGAGTTTGAATTTGGCTTAACTTAAGTTTGCATGTTTGAGCTCGGCTCATCTCAAGCTTGAGAGAATAATAATAATATGAGCTGAGTTTTATTAGGCTCGAGCTTGACTCAATTAACAAATAAGTTTATATATTGGACTCAAACTCGACTTAAAACTCTATTTAAACAGCGATTGAATAACTTGTGAAAAGCTTGGTTCATGTCCATTAGGAGTGTCAATTGATTAATTGTTCGTTGGATCATCCGAACCGAAACTAATCAATTTGGATTTGAATGGCCCAGTATGAAAATTGGGTTGGACTATAAATCCAAATAAATTCATCCAAACTCCTATCAGTTTGAGTTGGAGTTAAATCAGATCTTCACAATTGAACCGAAAACCAAAAACCATTTTGTGTTTTACATATACTGGTTGACAGAACATATGTGGGGGAAATGTTGCAAAAAAGAGCTTTATGAGATCATGAAGATTAATAGTCTATGGTGAAGAAGATTAATCTATAAAATGAACAAATTAAAAAAAAAAACATTTTGTGAAGAAGCTTTGATTTTAATCAATGTTTTCAAAATCAGATTGGACCGGACAGTTGGACCAGAAAAATCGGGAAACGGTCACCTG